GCAGGGGCTTTATTGGCTTTTTAGAAAAGAAAATTCTGACGGTGGTTAGGGAAACAGGATGATGGTTATTTGGCGAACAAGTGATAATATTTATATTAAGGGAATCAATTTAAGATAAAATCCTAGAATGTAACGTTTTTTTTTATAGGAAAAATAAATATTATTAAAAAGAGTTTAAGGATAACTCAAAACCCATATACACAGAAAAAATTACTTACTCAGAAAAATAAAAAGTAAAAATATACTTATACAAAATTAAGACAGATGCAATTTCGTGGGTTCAAATATCAATCAGCTAATATAATAGTTTCTTCCTTATTAACAAGTGATAACCATTTTCAAGATTTCAGAATAATAGAATCTATGACTTCCCTCTCGTCCAAAACACCATTTGAAAATACAATTTTATTTCTATGCAATCACAAAGATCACACTGTACTTACCCAAACAATTAATAAGCATATTTCTTCTCTTTTACTACAGTCAACACCAACCCAAGAAAGCAGGCGAGTCAATAACTCTGAAGACAAAATCAGTAAGAATCCAAGCCAACGCGCAGTAAAGTACCAGATTTGAGATGAAACTGAACACGTTAAAAATAAATGAGTTGGAAGTTCCTCCAAACCATGACAGAAGCAACAAGTTATATCATCAATTTGAACACCACAATCAATTAGTAAACCTTTACAAGGAAGTGCATTCAACAACAATTGCCAAGAAAAAACCAGACACTTAAGAGGGACCTTCCCTCTCTATAGCCTTTGCAAGACATATGCCGTACATTGATCTACACTATTAGGACCACCAAAAAGTTCAAATAGTTATGAATATGCAGATTGCACTGAATAACAACCTGAAGAATCTGTCCTCCATACCTATTTATCTTCTTATAGTACCTAGAATGTAATGTTTACTTTGACAATTCATCCAACTCTTCTGTATATGTCTTTTTATTATAATTTATGATATTGCCAAGTATGATAAAATATTGGTTAGTAAAATTTATTAACACAATGAAATCTTTAATTATAAGAATCATGATAAATATCAAATTTTATTAGTTTTTTAATCAAAATTTCTTAATCAGTTTATCATTTTTTATTTAACTTTTTCACTTTCTCCCTTGATGAGTCTCGGACAATGCATCCAAACTATTTAAGAAAGACTACTCGTAACGTAATCTTGTTAATTAGTTTATACCATTCTTAAGACAACAAAATATGTAAAGTTAAGAATAAATGTAATATTAATTTACCGGAAAAACTCAAAATTACAATGATTGAGAAGCATACGAAACAATTTAAAATGGTATAATAAATTAAAATGATGAAAAAATTTCAATTTTAACGTCAAACCATAATATAAAAATCTGGTTATCGTCCATATATATACATTATCACAAAATTGTTAGCTTATTAATATTGACTGCTTATCATGTATTAATCATATTAATTTTCGAAATTAAAATAAACAGAGAAAGTAATGAATAAAAATTAACAGTTATATCAAATTTTAATTACTACTGCTAGTCAGGTAATAAACGTCAAGTCCCGATAGTTTATGATCCATTTAAAGATAAAAAAGGGTGATATTTAATATGAATATCGTATTAATTTTGCATTGTTAATAAGGTTTATCTTTATAATGAATGTTGATCTTGTTAATAATTCTTAATATGATTTTTATAAATGATAAAAAGAAAGAATGGAACTTTATATATAATATTAATAACTTTCCCACCTTACAATAATCCACACAATTTTGTGAAATTCTGTTAAAACAACATTGATATTAATATATGTACCGTGAGCTTATATCATATATTAATAATAAAATAAAATTTAAAAATGAAATAAATTAAAAAAGTAGCAAATAAAATAATTATATTTGTATTAAATTTTAATTGTAATTGCCATTAAAATTAAATGTTAAGGTCTTCTTATTTTATGGTAAGGATAAAAATTAAAATATGACATAACATCAAATACAACACTTTATATATTATTACTTTACAAAAATGGATACTAATTTCAGTAATAGAGTGCTTTTTAGAAACACTCCACCATTCTCTACTCACAATTTTAGTATTTTCATCCAAACGCGCACTAGCTTCAAAGTTTTGCTCTATCCTGGCTAAGTCAAATCAATATTATTATCCACGATTCCATTGTAAATAATTAATATTGAAGTATTAGATTATTTTCCCCTTTATCTCATGTTATATGCGATTTGATTAGTTTATCTTATCTTAAAAAAAATATTATTTTAAAATTTTAATAAATTAAATATTAGGTTTTTTCCCTCTAATAATGCATATATATTTTTATATCTTACCTAAGTGTTTGGATATTTTTCAATTATATTTTAACTCTTTTGATCAAGACATTTTAATTTCTTTATAATAAAATTTCGTATAATTAATTTCTAAAAAATATATTATTTTGAAAAAAATAGTGTAAGAAAGAAGGAATAATAGAGATATTATCCATTCTTTTGGTGAATTAACGGTCTTTGAAATATAAAATAATTATCTAATGGAATAGTTGAAAATTTTGTCCAGTGTATAATTCGTATTTCTTATTTTCAGAAACAGTCATGGTAGTAGTTATTCTCCAAACAATTTTTTTTTTCATTGGTAAATACTTTCATCAACAACATGAAGGTAAAGTTGAGAAGGAGACCAATCGTGAAAAATAATCTACGTACAAATTCGCCAATAACTCAGTTCCTCCTAGTTCAACATGAACAGTTAATTGTTTTCTATTTTACACATTTTTATATAAGGTTTTTTTCTAATTTCTAATATTATAAATGATTTGTAAATCCGTTTAAATAACTTTTTATCTCTGGCAGTCTATTTTGTTTAATCTATTTCAAATTAAAATTCAACTGCCCTGTATCAACTTAAGTATAATACATAATGGAATTCAGACTCCATTCTCATTGCGTAGGCTAATATTTTTTAAAATGATTTGATCTGTCATATTCAATGTTTGTTTTACAAATTTAATAAATTCAAAATCTTCTATGTTCTTGCGTGTTTATCCTTTTTCATGGAAAATTTATAAATGCATATACTAATTTTGAAGTTTCATTCACTGGTAAAATCCAGTGAAATAATCCATAGAAAGTTATTTCCTCCATCTTTATATTCAGCTAAGCATTTTATTGGGGATACAATTTATTATTCGTTTGACAAATGTCTATCAGTATGTATTATAGTAGAATAATAATTTATAGTCAGCAAATTTATCTGATAATATGAAATATGTTTTTATTTTTATAGGGATCGTGTATAGGTAAGTTATGGCACGACATTTAAGTGCAAGCATTAAATAATTTTAGCACAAAGCAATTCTTTTAACGGTTAAATATTTAAAAAATAGATTTATTATTATATTAAAATTATAAAAATATAATAATTATTTTTTTATTAAAATTTTATTATTATTAACTTCTTATCCTCGACTCTTAGAGTTAGGTTAAGATCAACAAAATTATTAAAAAATTTAGCATGAGACAGGTATACTGTGACTTCAATTAATTGCTTTTGAACATTTGAGGCACCCTCGTATGCAATTTGAGTGCCTTATTGAACCTTTTAAAAGATTTCATCAATCAAAATCAAAATCATATTAGATTTAGATTTGTTGGATTAGACCATAATTGTATAAACTTTAAGAAAATGTATTAATCTCCTAAAATATAAATTGATTACACTCGATACCTTCTCATTTCTAGGAAAGGTGAGAAGTGTGGGATATAATTAGGCTGAATCTAAGGAGAGTTCAGTGAAATATTTTCTTAAAGATTTAATACTTTAGAAGAGTGACAATTGAAAGATCAACAAGTTTGAAAGAATACAGTTTTATTTAACATTTAAATGTCAGTTAGAAAATAGGAAAAATTCACATCGCATAAAAGCAAAATTAATACACATGAAAGTTAATTATTATTTAAATTAAAGAGATAAATATTTTTATAAAAACACGATACGCCCCGTGATTTGTTAAATTCTCTTTTAGTCTAAATGTGCATTATGGAGACTTCACATAAAAAATCATTAATACTAAAATATTTCCACTTACAAACGTAGTTTGTTAATAACTTAAAATATAAAATCTTATAATGTTTTACACTTTTAATAGATCAAAAATATTAATTTTTTAGATTTAAATTGATTGTAACGTAACTTCTTTTCTTGCACAGATCCTTCCGCATACATATATGTAAAGTAAAATTATTAAGTTCAAATAAATATTTTAGGGTATGTCTATTATCATTCTTTAGTAACCTTTGTTTATTTTATTTTTTTTGTCATAACTATATAAATAATAAGGGTATTTTACAATTAGTATCATGATTAAATAGTTTTTAAAAAATCTTGACCTAAACTAGATCATAGAAAATGAAAGAAAGAATGGGTAAAAAAAATTATTTTGAATTCTCCTATTTTTCATGATTAAAATATTTGTTTAATTGCTAAATAAATGCAATATTAAATAATTTTTTATATTTTTGTTTAATACTGTATTTATAAAATAGCAAGAGAATTTATAAGATGCTATAACAAAACTCTTAAAAATTGTGGTGATACCCAAAAGCAGCCCACAAAACGTGCTCATTATTATTTATCGCTCATTAAGAGAGACCCCATGCCCATGTGTGAGTGAATTTCATGGTCCAACTTTTTTATGTATACATTCGTTTTTTTATATTTATTTTTATTCTTTTTAATTTTTAAAAAATATTTTTATCACATCTCTCTTATCTATGTCAACTTATAATTATTCTTTCACGATCTGCCGTATGACCACCAGCAAGTTAACAGCTGCTACTAGTATTTGGTGCTGCAAACTTTGTGCCTAATACGTGTTCATAGTGTGGCCTCAACTTGACACATACCAACAACAACTGTGAGAAGAAGCAAGGTAGAGAGAAAGTGTCAAAGCAAGCCCATTTAATTAACTAAAGTCTCGTCCGCGAGTTTCCCACGCTTTATCCCATTGGTTCAGTTTCAGTTCCCTTTTATTATTAACCCCCAATCCAGAAACAGGTTTCCAACTCACTCTCTCTCTCTCTCTCTATCTATACTCAATAAATTACTAGCAAAACCCTTAATTATTACCAGCCACCACAGCCACTTTCATCAATTCCTCTAATCTTCACATAACAACAACAACACATTCGTTCTATGTGCCTACAACTATTACTAATTCTACATGGATGGCAACCCTTTTGGAAACGTGCCAGTGCCACCTCCTCCAATACAAGTCCCTGACTTGGTTATCTCTTCCTCCACCTCAGCACCCACAACACCAACCCCAACCCCAACAACATCCTCGCCATCTCCGACACCCTCCGCTGCTGTCCGGTACCGGGGAACCCGGTGTCGGAGTGGTAAATGGGTGTCGGAGATACGTGAGCCACGTAAAACGAAGCGCATTTGGCTTGGAACATACCCGACAGCGGAAATGGCTGCAGCGGCTTATGATGTGGCTGCGCTTGCGTTGAAGGGGCCAGACACGCCCCTTAACTTCCCTAATTCGATACTCTCGTACCCAATTCCTGCGTCATTGTCGGCCACGGATATTCGAGCGGCTGCTGCAGCTGCTGCACAAGCGAGGATGGTGAGGCCAGCACAAGAGAGTGGAGAAATGATAAGAAACCCTGGTGGTGATGGGTCTTCGAGTGGACAAGGGTTGGAGACGCGTGAGGAGTACATTGATGAGGATGAGTTGTTGAACATGCCCAATTTGCTTGATGACATGGCCAGGGGAATGCAGGTTAGTCCCCCTAGGATGAGTTCCTTTTCTTCCGATGATTCGCCAGGGAATTCTGATGGAGATAACCTTTGGAGTTATACTCTTTGAACAATGATTTATCATATGTATCAATGACTAAGGTAATAGTTAATTTTCTCTTTTGTTTGTGTGTGTGTTTTGTTTGCCCTCTTTATCGGTTGAAGCTTATAATCCCGCTTTTGGTGGCTGCTGAGAAGGTTGCGTTGCGCGGTGTATATAGAACATTCAACTACTGTTCAAGGGATGATGAGGTCACTTTCATCGCCGCAGATTTTAGGGAATGGTCTAGATGATCCGTTGCTTGTTAGATCCGTAGTTCCGTACAATCTAATCAGTTGGGGGCAACTAGCTAGAAGGATTCTACTTTTGATCATGGGTCTTTCTCGATCTATTAATACATGTATACCATTCTATGTGTGGGGTTTGCCCTTTTTGGTACTTTTGCCGCAGATTTGTATTCAATCAATAAAACTACTTCTGGCAGTTTCTTTGAAATGGTGCTAGAAATGTGTAGAACTTTCAAGATATGTAAGCTTTTTAAAATGAATTAACGATCATGTATATGCAAGAATCTCGTATATCTCTTGTGCTATATATATCTGGAGCAAAAATTTACAGTGCGTACGATGTTTCTGGTTATCATAACTTTCTTCATAATCAAACTATATAATCTTTAGCATACGCATTTAAACGGTTAGGAAATGATGATATATTAAATCTGAAGTAACGCAGTTCGTTAATGCTTTTCTGTTGGATTAGGAGAATTAATGATAGTCCTCTTTTTCATTCATTAGTGAGTTATCAAGAGAGATTTTCTTGGCATTAAATACCGAATTCTCGAGGTTACTTCGGGTCTGTGTTGGTGGAACCAGACATTTGAGTAGTCTAGATATCCAACACATTCATGTCGGTAGCCGAATATATTTGTAGTGCATGATTATATGTTTCTGCTTTTGATAAATAGCATTCTATACCTAACAGATTCCGAGTTCATCAAAATCTTGACCAATATAAGAAAAAGAACTTTGATGCATCAACAATACATGACAAGCACTCCATTTCCCTTGGTTATTGATCCCCTCACCGTTAGCATGTGTTCAACTACAAAGAGTTTCTTGAATTAGACCCAGGTTTCACATAAATGCTGTGGGATTGGAACAGTATTTATCAAGCTAATACACTCTGGTCTATGAGTTATGATAGACAGTTACCTTTTGAAGACAATTCCATTGTGAATCTTTGCCGACATGACGCAAAGTTTGTGCCGACGGTTATGACAGAATGTTGATATATTGTTGATCTAACCAGGGCGCCTCTATTGGAACAGTTACAGCTTTTCCTTTGCAAGCGTCATATTTACCAGTGGAAATGTGAATTGATTAGCATAAGGATGAAATGTTAGTACCATTCACCAAATTAAATGTATATATTTGTTTGTTTGAATGAGAAGAAAATGTCCTCTTACGATATTAACGTGCTTTCTTGAGCAAGTTATTAGAGGTAACAGAAATGATGATAAATCATTTTACAACTAATGAAATATTGAATAATTTTTGAAACTTTTGATCGTTTTTTTATATTATACTGTATAAATGGAAGATCTAATTTCATTTCTTTTTGTTTTTTTTCTTTTGCTTCATTTTAGTCTTCAATTAGATCTTTTATGATAATGGGTAAATTAAATAATTGCCTATTTAAGAACATATTTCATAAACTCTTTATAAAATAATAATTTATTTTTTAAATTCAGTAATAAAATTTATTAAGATAAGCTTTTACATTTTATAAAAGCTATATATATATATATATATATATATATATATATATATTCATAAATCATTTATAAACTCTTCTAAATCGGTCTAATATAATAGAGAATGAGTTGTAGATTTATTATTTTAAAAAAAAATTTAGTAGAAAGAAAGATATTTTGTTGAAATAAAAATTTATTACTCCTTACTCTCAGGTATATTATATTATATAGAATTGATTCTGTTAGTAGATATTAAAATTTATAAATGAAATTAATCAATTATGCACAGAAATTTATAGTGAAAAAAATAATTAAAAAGAATGACAATTTCGTTATGATTTCATATTTTTCTTTTAAAAACCGTATTTATATTTTACTTTAATATTTAAGTTCTATACTTAATGACACTCAATTTTCTTTTTTTTTGTCCAAGGAGAGTATACTACTTTCACAATGTGAGACACTTTTTACAGATAGAGTAGGTGACCATGTGATGAGGGACTCACTCAGTCAGTTTCATTATTCCTAACATTAATTTCAAATAGTACTAATAGATTAAAAAAAAGTTTTAATTTTAAAATTTTAAATACTAAGCTACTTTGATATCTATAATACTTAAAAGGCGAGAGAAAAATAATTAACCTATATTGTTTAAAAAAGTTATACGTTCAAGATAGTTCTTATTAAAAATTTAAAAATATTTAAGTAGCACCGGAAACAATTATTCACTAATAATTTATTAGTAGATTAAATTTTGTTAGTATAAATATTTTTGAATAAAAAATAAATTGTTACTGTAAATATTTTAAGTTTGTACTAATAATATGATATGTTTTATTAACAGATAATTTTATTAGCGCATAATATTGATATATCTACAGTAACAATCTGTTCTTATAAATCTTTAAATCTTTATTAAATACTTTAACTTTTATTAGATAAAAATTGTACTTATAAAGATTATTCTAACATTTGACAATTATAGTTTGTTAGTAAAAATAAAAAATATTAGTGTTCTATTCAAACATGTAGTTAAAAGGATGAATAATTTTCATTCTCAATGGTTGAATATAAATTAGAATGTTAACTTTCAAAAAATACCAGTGGCCCAGCTTCCCTCCCTTCTTTTAATGTTTTGAAAGGAATCTTAATAATATTTATGATGATGACTTATGATTAATTACATGGAGTCTGGTTCTTTTTTTATTTATTTTTTTACCATATTCATCTTGTGCTGAAAGGTGGCAATGTCTAAAGCCTACAAGAGTTAGAAGAACCATAATCACCTTATAAATACTCAGTTAATTTTTATATGTGCAGAAGCCAGAAGGTCTAGCGTGTTGAACTTCACTGAAGCGTAGTGGAAAAGTTGGGAAGTGAAAGTCATGAGGTATTGTCCCTCTATAACCAATTTCCCTCTATAAAGCACCATATATATAATGAGTTTGTAAATCATAAAAAATTAAAGCGCATTTTAACGAGTATTATGTGTCTTTTATTTGTATTTTTCATCTGTTCAAGATATAAAAAATACTAATAAATCCATCACTACTTGACAGTGTTGAATAAAAAATAAATTACAACTATTAAATAAGTTGAAGATAGAGTGTTCTAGTTAGTTTGTAATTGCATAGTTAGCAAATCATGTTAATAACTCATCCTTTTTAAAATTCAGGAGTTACTAATGATAATAATATTTTTGAAAGAAGAACAATGTTGAAGACCAAATGAAAATATTTAGATAATAAAATTGGGCACAATAGATAAATCTTTTAAAGATATGAAATATAATTCTTAGTAATATATATGAAAAATATTTTATTGAAATAAGTTATACTCACTTTAATAAGTTTTTTTAAAGGTGAACAGTATTTTGATTATTCATTTAAAAAATCTTAATACAAGTAAAAAAAAAATCATAACATTCAAAATTTAGGACACTAAGTTTGTATGTAAATTTGAAAGAGATCAGCAGACTTGGTTGTATTAAAATAAGGGCATCAATTGATTTGGTTAGGCAAATCAATACAAGGTTTTGTTTGGGTTGCCTCATTTAAAACCATATAATATAACACAACTAGCAACTTTCTTTGAAAACCCATTAGTAAGTGGAATCACATATTCAATGAGTGCAAACGGGTGTAAATATTGTGCAAACCTGGTTTGTAGGTTTGCAAATAATTGTTTTTATCTCCAATATGTGGTTTTGATTAAAAATAATATCATTTTTATTCTATTTATAAAAAATATTTAATTTATTAAAATCAATAAAAAAATTCTGTCATAAATATATTTTTTATTTTAAAACTATTTATAATTTTTTATATATTAAATAAGTAAATATGTTTACTTATATGAATAAATAATAACTTAACTTTAATAAAACTATCATGGTAAATAAAAATATAAAAAAATTAACAATTAATATATTAAAAATGAGTGTTTATTTTTTATTTTAAATAAAATATATTGATAATTATTTTCTATGGATATAATCAAAAGGTAATATTTTATTTCTCTATAACAAAGAAAAAAGTTATACATATTTATATTCATAAACACATTCTCATAATTTTATTTTGTAGTATTATTTTAGAAATACAAACATATATTTTCAATAATTAAACAACTATAAATATTTTTTATTAAAAACATATAGCTTCAACTTATTTTAATTAAAATTTATTATACTAAATCAAAGTTGTCAAAAATTAAATTTCGAAAACTTCATCCAAACACACTCTATTCATAAAGTTTGGAGGTTATTGGAAAAAAAATGTCATCTTGTAATAATGCTTAAAGGTAATTGCTTTTTCATTTTGTTTCTTAAAGCTACTAAGCGATGGGTCTAATCAGTATCGGATTTAGATTAGCCACTAAAAAGGAAAGAGTGTCAGAGATGGTAGGGTCAAGTGGGGAATTGGGGGTTATTATAGTCTAGATTTTTTTGGAGATTCTAAGGTTCATTTGTCCCATCTTTCATTTTCTTTTTATTTTCCTTCTATTTTGATAATTGGGCTAATTCAATGAACAGCCTTACGTATAGTTGCATTTTAGTTTACTCAAATTAGTTGTCCCAAGCCTAATAAATTATCCATATATAAAACTAACTATAGAAATATCAATAATTATAATACTTAATCATCAACCTGTGATGTGATCAATAGTTATTTATCGACGTATTCAAATAAAAATATAAACATGTGAATTGTTTATAAACTAATTAAATTTTATTTAATAATTTTTTTTAGTTAAATAAGCAAACTAAAGTTTAATGTTAAAAATTATTACTTCAATGAATCACATCCTAAATTTATAAAGTCGACAGTAATAATTTTTAAATACTCGTTTATACAACTGTACTAATATGCTCATCATCATGAAAATAAAGATATAATGTTTCTTTTTTATAAAACTTGAGTATAGATTAACAAGTAAAATTAATTTACTTTTTTTTACTATCATCTTTTATATATACAAGATTTATACAATTTTGATAACTAAGCTTTATTTTAAATTAATGATTATAATTTTTAATAAATTTTATTCTAAAAATTATTCCTAATATTTAGCAATTTTAATAAATAAAATTTTTATTTATTTAAAATGTTAGTGTAATTAATAAATAAATTTATATGCAGATAAACTTCAATAAAAATATATAAAATACAAATAAGTGAATGAAACAATTTATAATTTTAAAAATTTTAACCAAACAAAAAATAATTTCTAAATTTAACTCAGTTAAATAAAAAATTAAACTAAATTATTTAAAATTGGCCTAAACTTTAAATATTAAAGTCAAATTATTTATACTATAGTAAAAAATCAAATAAC